GCGTTGGTCGGGCCCCTCGGTGGAGTCGCGCATGAATCACGTCTCCGATGAACATTCGTGACGTCGCGAATCCTGCAGCGGTCGCGGGCTTGGCCGGATCGTCTGGCGCGCTCCAGGACGCGAAACGCGTTGCCATGAATCGACCACGGGCCCTGCGGCAGCAGACCACGACATCTCGAGACTCGATCCCGAGGGGCAGCATGAGGGGAGACCACAGGCAGGCGAGGTACCCGGCCCGCGATCTTGGGGTGTCGAGGTACATCGAGGCCTCTTTCTCAGTTGCCCCTCACTCAGCCTCTACCAACGGAGACGGACAGAAACGAGCAGAGAGGCCCAAACAAGCACCATGGCGCATGGCACACCGACAAAGCAGAGAGGGAGAGGGAGGGTCTTCACAGCTGACGATGGGCCGCGCAGTATGCGGCCATGAAGCACAGTGGAGCTGGGGCTCACGCGTCTCTCCAGGCTGAGTGGCTGGTTTGGTGTTGACACTCCGGCTTGGGCATCACCGGCGCCGCTGAAAAGGTTTCCGGATGTTGTTTCCCAGCCACCGACTTTTCTCTTCGTCGTTGTCGTCGTCGCAGTCGTCGCACTGCGTGATGGAGGACCCTCATGCGCAGCGCGCAGCCCCTCTCCTGCGCATGTTTCTCGATGTTGGAATTGACTTTGCCCGCTGGGGTCAAGGCGCCCGAGAATTAGGCGAAGGGTGGCTGTTTCCCTCCAGGGATGTGGCTGAGAAGTCGTCTGAGGGTACGGGCATCATCCCATCCTACAACGGACGAGGTTGGCCAATTGCGCTTTGTTCTTTTGGTTTTCGAGAAGGAAAACGGGGCTTTGGGACAGCAGAGACTGCAGAGACTGCAGAGATTTACGGACACCAGCCAAGTCTGTTGAGGTGATCGATCGGATCGGTTGCATTGTCGCCGTGTGGGATTTTCGCATGTTGGGCTAGCCAGATGATCTAGGGAATAAGTGACGATACCACTCTGGATGGGGACTCGTCATGCTCTATCTCTGTAGAGACGGATACCCTCAAGGTTCTCTGCGTCGGCCATCGCGAAGTGAGCACCTTGCCCGAGGTACACACGGCATGGCTTGCCGTGATTGGGAAGACGGGCGACTTCCACTTGGATGTTTTGATAGCGCAAGTGTCTGTATTCTGCTTGTTTGCCCTGGCCTGTTGCTTTGTCTGGTTGCAATCACACCGGGATGCTCAGCATGACAGGTGAATGGCAGAGCATCAATGTCATCTCAGGTCATACCTTGCCTGACTTACCAAGATAAGGTGCCTGGTGAGGGAGGTTCGATCCCACTACCAATACCAATCCGAGCTGAAGTAAGCCCTTTACCTCTGAACCAGTGCCTCGTCCGCCCTGTAACGAGAGCCTGGCGAGGGGTGGTCACCCCATTTCAGCGCCGAGCAATAGGAGCTGCTGGACGAGAAACAGTGGCTTACTAGTAGGTAAGTAGGTAAGGTAGGTACTTGCATTGGGTAGGGCCTGGCAAAGAGGGTTGCAGGAGGGCTGCTGTGACATGAGCAGCTCTGCAGCAGTCTGGAGAAGATTAGGTATCAACGGGGTGGTGCGGGCGGGCCTATCGCGGAAGAGAGCGGCCGTCGCTGCCCAACCTGCTGGAGCTGCCTGGTTCTCCGAATCCCCGTTGTCTCTCGTCCAGTGGATTCGGTCACCAGGGACTCGAAGCTCACCACTCAGAGCTCACCTCTTATTTTTGCATCTTTCCTTCCGTTTTTGGTCATCACAACGGCTTCGCCCTCCCACCGAGGGGCAGGCACCACCTACCGTACCTACCCAGCTACCTAGGTACCTTGCCAATGTACCTCACCTTACATCGTACTCCGTACTTACTTGCCTTCCTAGCGCCGTACGTCATTCTTGGTCCACCGTTCAAACATCCAGACCGTCTACGCTCACCTCAGGCAGCACCACACGTTTCGACGGTGTTGCACTGCACCTCACAGTGCTGGGCTCTCACGGGAACTTGCGGTACAGAGTAACGGTGGCCAATTCCCTCACCATTTGCTCATCCGTCTTTCCTTGATCCAACCTCTGCGCACGCATTTGCCGAACAGACGGTGGCCCAAGCAGCGCCCAACCCCTACCGTCTGTGACCGGTGACCGCCATTCCCATTTGCGCCGAGCTGGCTGGCTGGGTGTGTTTCCCCCTTCCGTCTCCTTCATTTTCTTTTTTTTCTTTTGCGCGCAAAGAACCAAGTCATAGAAAAAAATTCTATTTTTTATTTCCCGCTATTGGCCGTCCCGGTTGACGGCCGAGCCGTCTTCCCCATCTCCATTCACGGCCTTCAACCTCCCTTGCCTGACCCGCCCGTCGCTCAGACTGTCTTCCGGCAAGATCCCCGTCCAGCTAGACCCGGCGCATCGCGGCCAGGACCCAAAGGCCCAGAACCCAGAATCTCTTGTCATCCTCCTCTTCGCTGACCTCATTCGTCGGCCGGAATCTGTCGTCCCCCAGCGGCCCTTGACTGACACACGCATACCCGGCCAAGGCTCCCCCCAACTGAGAGCCACAAGACCGAGAGAGCGCACAGAGAATCCAGTCGGAGCACATCGGCTGGGCATGGGGTTGGGTTTCGCTTTGGCTTTCTCTGTGCCCATACTGCTTGCTACTACTCTGTACCAAGTACTGCAGCAAGTACACACAGAGCACCGTCCCATCCCATCCCATCCCATCCCGTCGTATGCCATCCCGCCCTCCGTCCCATGGTCCCCCCAAGTATCTTTCTTGCCGTCTCGCCTGGCCTTACCCTGCCCTGTCAGGCCCCGGCTGCCGTTTCTATTCCCATACGGCCATGATGATGGGATTACAACCCCCCCCCCCCCCCCCCCCCCCCCAAAGAGCTCGTCCCCAAGCCTCTTTCCGGGCCTCATGTACCTTGCCCTAGCTTTAGCCCGCCGAGCGGTACCTTAGCCTACCCCCATGGCCTCTCTCGTACACACTCTCTCTCCCCTTGGGTACCAAGAAGAAAACAAGGGAAGACGGCGGCAACAGTCTATCGAGTTGATAGAGTCCGTGAGGAGAGTTCGAGGCGGTCTAAAGCCAAACACAACCCCTGCTCAAATGCTCCCCTTGTCTTGTCCGTGTCTTGTTCCAAGGAATACTTTGCAACCGTATTGCGTCGGCCGTCCGTCTGTGCTTGTCAGTAGGTAGTGTAGTGTAGTAGTCAGCGCGGCAGCCCAGCCTGCCGCAATCCCAAGCTCTCGTTCTCGCCATGCTTGGATCAAACCATCATGACAAGATACTGGCAAGATTCCCGGGGACATCCCGCGGTCTCACGAGGGATGAAGGCCAGACATGGACAAGACATTCTCCATGTAGCAGAGGCATCATGACGGACCCGGCATCCAGGGAAGCAGGGAAACGAAGGAAGTTCCGGCTCCTTGGCATCATGATCTCTCTTGTCTGACCAGCAGTCTCTGTTCCTACATACTACAGATACGGTTTCTCTTGAGAGAGAGAGAAGACTCAGAGTCTTGCTGACTGGGCTCCTCCTCGGCACGTTCTCACTAGTCACCCACCCCCGTCGTTTGTCGGCCACCCTCCACAAACGAAGTGAGTGACCAGACCAACCCACCCATCCCATCCCATCCCATCCAACCCGCCGTACACTACCATGGCTCTCCGTTCTGCTGCTCTGCTCTCGCCGTAAAGAGCTCTCCTCCATCTCGTCGATTGCCCATCCCGGCCTAGGTCGCGCGTTCGTCCCTCTTGTCTTTCCCCACTGCTTTCTCTCTGTCTCTTGAGTCTCTGCATCCTGGCACACTGGGATTGGGACCCGGACCAAGCCTGACCTGCACCTGCACCATCCGCAACTCTGCTGCTCCCATACGCTCTTCCCTCCCCAGTCCCCTCCTCCCCTCCCCATCCATGCCCACCGTATTCTTCTGGAAGCCAAGCAAAGTACCTCAACCCGGCCACCGTTTCCGACCAAGTACCTCGTCCCCGTTCTCCCGCAGAAGTGCCGCCTTTGGATCCAAAAGTACAAAACCATCCGCCGTCCTCCTCAGGCTCTACCTTGTCTGCCACCAAGACCCAAGTCCACCAAGAGAACGAGATCCATCCCACACCACACTCACACAACCGTACATACGTACATACATATACATATTCCCGACACCCCATCTTTCGACGATTCCCTCCCCCGTTGTTGCAACACACAATTGTTTATTATTGTTCCATCGTCCATCCTTCTCTCGACCTGCCTCATATATCGGCGGCCTTACCAACTCTCGCACACACACAACACACACGCACGCACTCACTCACACACGATACATACTGAGGCTTTCCCCGCCCTGTGTCTGACTGACCTGCTCTTCAACTTGCCACAAGATCTGGAGTGCATCGCAGCACCGTACGACTCGAACGAAGAAACGATACCAAGCCTGTGAGTGTGTTTCTGTTTCCTCAGTTCCCTCAGACTACTTTGCCTTGTTCTTCTTGTTGCGCTCTGCTGCAACGCACTGCCTTAAAACTTTCCGGCCTCCCTCCCACCCGCTCGACTTCCTGATCCCCACCAACCTCTCTTATCACTGCTCTCTCACTCACTCCGGCCGCTCGTCCGCTCCCACCACCTTCTTTGCTTTTTTCCTGGTCCTCTTCCCTGCCTCACCTCATTTGCGCTGCTCTGTGGTCCAGCGACCTTCACAAAAGCCCGCGTCTCGCTATTTTTCTCCAGCGATTTTGCATGCATCCTCTTTACACCCATCATCATCCTTCTGCACACAGCCTGAGTGCATTCCCCTCACCTGCGAGTCCCTCTGAGAATCCGCAGCACCGTCCCCACATCTCACTCAACCCAAAAATAAACCCTGGATGATCATTCTCACCGCCGCCTGCCACCCACGACTAACACAATTATTTCCAAGATTTTTTCCAAAGAGAAAAAATTAAATAGGCATCATTTTGCTCGCATAGAAGCACCTCGCAGTCATCTTTAGACTGCCCCATCACATTCACCAGAAATGGTCTCAACCTACCAGATGCCGACCTACTTCAGACCGAATCCCTTGACCGTCGACACAAGTCAAGCGCAAAAGTACTACGAGGAGGAGGACCACAGCATTCTGGACGAGAACATCTTGGATCACAGCGCACTCGACTCGGGCCTGGAAATGTCGCCCCCCATGGCCGACAGCCGCAGGGAATCTTTCGCCGTCGGCGGCTCGCTCTTCTCCCCCAAGACGGAAGACTGGCAGTCAGTCGAGATGCAGTCGGTGCCGTCCAACAACCCCTTCCACATGGAGCAGCACAGCAACAACCCCTTCATGCGCCTCGACCACGCCCAGCCCTCGCCCTTTGGCCCCCAAGGCAACGCCTGGTCCTTGAGCAACACCTCCGGCTCTTGCACTCCCCTGCAACAGTTCGACGGCATGCCCGCGGAATACGACAACAGCGCTCTGTTCCAAAGACCTACCGTCCAGGGCCAAACGCCCTTCACCAACCCCACCGGCCAGATCAACATGTTCGCCTCCATCGGCTCAGGCAACCAGTCTATCCCCACCTCACCGCAGAAGGGCTGGATCGGTCAGTCAGAGTCCATGGCGAAGAAGATGCGCCCGGGGAGCCCCACCATCCGCTCGCACAACGACATGAGGAGAGGTGACGGCATCCGGAAGAAGAACGCCCGCTTCGACATCCCCGCCGAGCGCAACCTCAGCAACATCGATCAGCTCATCGCCCAGTCCACCGACGAGCAGGAGATCAAGGAGCTCAAGCAACAAAAACGTCTCTTGAGGAATCGTCAAGCAGCGTGAGTGAACCATCCCTTCTATGACCTGCACATACTAACATCCGACCACAGTCTCGACTCTCGCCAGAGGAAGAAGCAGCACACTGAGCGCCTCGAGGATGAGAAGAAGCAGTTCACCGCCGTCCTCACCGACATGGAGGAGGAGATGGCCGAGATGAGGCAAAAGATGGAGCAGCTCCTGAGGGAGAAGCAATTCCAACAGGAGTACATCGAGTCTCTCACCATGGAGAAGGAGGAGATGATCCGCACCCACACCATCGAGACTGGCGAGCTCCGCAAAAAGGTCAGCGTCCTCACCGACCACGTCCAGCGCCTCGAGAACGCCGCCATGGCCGCCCCTCCCAGCAACGCCTTCGTCTCCGGCTACGACGACATGGACGGCATGACCATGCCCGGCACCTGGGACAACGTCAACTTCCTCGGCGAGTACCCCATGGAGCAGCAGCAGCAGCAGCCCGAGGTCAAGCAGGAGCTCCAGGTCGTCCCCGCCAAGAAGGCCGAGGTCCCCTTCCCTGTCGACGCCGACAAGCCCTCCTCCTCCCAGGGCGGCATCCTCTTCATGCTCTTCCTTGTCGGCGCTTTCGTCCTCTCCAGCCGCTCCACCCCGGCCATCCCCCGCGTCTCCGAGGACGTCCGCGCCGAGGCCGCCACCCTGCTCGAGAACGTCTTCAAGGACGCCGGCGTCAACGAGGCCTCTAACACCCTCAACGCCGTCGCTCCCCAGCCCTCCGGCTCATGGGTTGTCGACCAGGCCTCCGTCAGCCTCGGCGGCGATGCCACCATGTCCGGCGTCGCCCCCTCCATGCTCGGTCAGCTCGGCGATTCCCTCACCCAGCCCACCGAGGAGCAGGCCAACGAGCAGCTCTTCGGCCTGTCCGCCGCCCAGTACAACGGCGTCAGCTCCCAGGACTTCCTCAGCAACGGGCCCACGCCCGCCGAGCGCGCCACCAGCCAGGGTCGCAGGAACCTCGCCGACGCCCTCGCCGCCATGCGCAACTCCAACAAGCAGTCCGCCGCCGAGGTCTACACCAGATCGCTACTGTGGGACCAGATCCCCAGCGAGGTGGTCAGGAATTTCGCCAAAATGGTGTCCGAGTCCAACAAGATTGGCACTGACGAATAACGAATGTCTTCGCGTATGAATGAACCAAAAAAAGAAACGAAGCAGCACGAGAAAAAAGAGAACCTCAACGATCTCATGATCAAGACGAAACCAAACATATCTTCACACCAAAACATTGTTTCCTTTTCTATTTCTCCCGAAGCGCCTCTCATCATACACTTCTTTACCGCTCCACCGCGGGACCCCCCAGACATTGTTGCTCACGCACCAAACGATCCTCTTTTTTCGCCCCAAAAACAAAAACATGATCGAAGCTCCTTCGGGCCTCACTTTATCTGATGTTTTTACATTTTTGTGTTCACATCTCCTTGTGTGTTTTCTCGGTATCTTAGCAAGCAAGCGAGCGAGCATTCTGGATTTATATCTGTCGCACAGTCCTGGTATCAGTTTGTTGTTATCTGCTTTTCCTTTTGGTATTTTCCATCTACTGCTTATTCCCAGTGCGGGGCGAGCAGCGGAGGCGGGCGGTTGGGTCTTAGGGATGGATGTACAATGGGCGGGAATGGGATGGGATGGCGGTCACAACGGGAGACAAAACCTGGAGAGCAGGTCTCATCACATTTAGGAGGGCAGAGAAGGGATGGATAGCGGTTGCTTTGTGTTTTTGTCTTTGTTTTCCTTTGATATTTTGCTTTGTGCTTCTCATTTGTTTTCCATTTCCTTATTCTTTTTTCATCTTGTCTCGAGAGAGATGGCAAGCGACAACATTGCGCGCAACAGATTGCGACGAAAGAAACGAAGAGGAGGAAGGAAGGAAGGGGACATCTCACGACGTCCAAAGAAGAAGAAAAATGACAAAGTCGAAACGAATCTGATGATCAATGAGACACACGCACACAAACACACACACATTCAACGCTCTCACGAAACGCGCGCAAATAACATCGCTTTTTTTAACCGTCCATTTATTCACTTCGACACATACACACACTATCTTTTCGTCCATTTACTTTGTTCACCACACACACACCAAACATTTTTACGACCGTCAACGTTTACGACGACGAAAACAACAGTTCTCAGCGAAAGAAATCACTTCCAGCACAGCGAGCAGAAGGAAAGCGGGCACAGCGCGGGAGGGGAAATGGAAAGCATTGAAGAGTTTACTAGCAGCGGCGGATGAATGTTGATTCCCCCTCAGGATTCTTATTGTTTATTTTCTACTTCAGTGGTAGGAGCCATCTACATCAAACCCAGAAAGGCCGGTTCTTGAAAGATAGGCGGCTTCTTGGGAGGGTTGGGTTTTGGCTCGGGCCTTTATTTTTTCTATTCATGTAGCTACTTGCGAAGCTTTCTTACCAAAGCACTTGAAAGATACCATGGAAACTCATTTGTGTTTTCTTTTTTTACTACTACCACTAAATGTTCCCTCCTTGATTGCCTCGGCGTGATTTGTGAATGCTTCGAGCAGATGACTTTCTTCAATTAGATAAAAAACTTGGCTATGAAAAGTCTAAAAAGTCGTAAATGGTACGGGATGACCTTGCCTTCCATGTTGATCGTTGATCCGATCCGCGCTGAGCGCAAACACTCATAGGTCTCGAGGGGGTATATCGAGGGCCGTGATAAGGGTATGATCTGCGCCCGCTGGTCACTCGCCTATCCCCCAAAGCAGTGTTATCGAGAGGAGGGGGCGACAACCAAAAACCCCGTTTTCGCCATTGTCGTCGTCAGTTCCCCTCGCACTATTGGCGAACACCACAGTTCCGGGGGGGCAGTGTTAAACGGAACGCATCACCGTTTATTCCTTCCTTCCTTCCTTCATGCCTTAGTCTTGGGCGATGAACGGTACGGAACGGTACCTACGCATGCGCAATGTGTAAGGTGTGTGTAAGTGTAAGTGTGTGTGTGACCTGCGGTTTCTGTTGGAGATCACGTCCGCCGTCTCGGGAATGGCACCCGGGTAGGGAGTAGGCGGTCTTTCCTTGGTTCTTGGTTTTGAGGAGACCAATGGGTTGGTTGGGGGGCAGCAGCAGCGGCGGCTTTGATGCCGCATTAGCGTTGTTTTTTGAGGTTTTCTGATTGCATGGGGAGGGCGAGCGAGGCAAAGGTCTTTTTCACTGTGGTCGACGGCGCGGCGCGTGAGATGGTGGGCGCAGCGCAGCGCAGACCTGGGGCTGGAAGGGGCATGCGGGTGAGCCTGTGGTAGTGCGGCGCGGGAAACACGGGAAATTCTTTTTTTTTCTGGGGGATCTGTTTCTGGTGATGTTGCATGTAGATGGATGGCATCGCAGTTGGTGGTGTTGGGGGATCACAATAGCGGCAAACGGGCGTAGCGGCTGAATGTAATGAATGGGATTGTTTCTTCCCTCTGGAAATACACTAAAGATTTCCACGACCCTACCTTATTGTCTCGCGCGGTTGAACAATAGAAGCCACAGCCCGCTAAAGGGTAGCTTGAGGTCTTACGTCTTAGGTCGGAAGGGGGATAAAAAGTGCGGAGGCTGGTAAAGACCTCTTAGCTCCCCCCTCATGGACGAGATCCCGCATCTCTTTCCTCGGTGCTAAGACATAGTGCCATTCGCGGCCTTCGTGGAAGGAAAAGGCGAAGCTTGCAAGGTGCTGCGAGCTTCAGCATGATGATGTACTTGTGTGTCTCTTTCGCGTGAGTCGTCGGCTCGGGTTCCGATGAGGTCAGATGGGGAGCTGGAGGGCCCAGATTAGATGCACCCTTGGGAATACCGGCATCTATCAAGCCAGAAGATGAGGCAACGCTTCCAGGCCATTGGGTCACGACAGACAGTCTACACCTATTCCATTTACCCTGCATTGCCCTCCTGCCTGGCTCACCAAAGTCCTGAGATAGATAGAGAGCTGTACGAAAATGGGAGAGAATGTGGTGAGACGGGAAGGATGTGGCGGCGGATAAGATGCTGAGATTGATAAGGTGGTACGTAGTATCAGCCCAAGCCTTTGGTGTAAGACGGCAGGCAGACGCAACAGGAGGGGGGGCATGATGGATGATGCGCGGTCGTACTCGATGTGCGTCTGAGACATTCTCGAGGTCGCATGCTTGGGTGCTCGCTCACGGGAGCTGGGGAACTGGGGGCCAAACGGCGCGGTGACGGTGAGCGGCCGCGGTGTAGGCCCAGGTCTGCGGCGAGGAATCGGAATCGCAATCAGCATCGTCATGCTCCTTTCCGTAATTCTGCGCCGTCCACCCGCGGAGAGATGAATATCTTCCGGCCGCGCGGTGCGAAAAAAACGGTGCATTTGAGGCCCATGAGGTAAGAAGCCCCCCATCTTCAACGGCTAAAGAAGCTAGGATGATAGGACCATGTGGCTAAGGGACCTAACTACCACGGTGAAGAAGGTGAACTGCAAGCTAGCTAACCCGACCTAGCCTGACCTTAGGTGAAGAAGCGGCGCGCGGCCTTCAATCATCCACGAGTGGCGAAAGGTGCGGACCAGCCATATGTAGGTGAGCAGGTGAGCAGGAATATACCCAAGCGTGCACCTTCGGATGGGTTCATCCGTTTTCCGTCGCCGATACCATCACGACGCGGACCTACCTTACTGCAGAGCGTCAAGGAAGTTTCAAGCCAGGGCATCTTTGCAAGTTTTGCTGACGTTGCACTGCTTCATTGGGTCGTTCTTCTTAGCTTATGCAATCTGATCTCGCGATGATACAAACGGCCAGGAGGGAAGGGAAGAAAACACCAGATGAACACTCACCTGTCGTTCCATGATGCGCGTATCCTCTTCTTAGTCTGAATGTCCTGCATAGGCCCCGAAGATGCGAACTTGTGGGCTTGCGAGAGAGGGTTCGGTGTCTTCCCCCTTCCCCAGAGCGAAGACGCGAGGCTAATGTACGACCTGTCCAGCTGAGTTGCAAGCTTTTTCCTTGGTATCAAAGGACCAGGCACACGTTGGCTGGAAGCTCCTCCCCAACCCTTCAAGAGACGTCGCGCAGGTTTCGCATCAGGGGGCAGTAATAGTCACGACTGCTCAACCGGAAGACGGGATTCCTAGAAACACGAGATAGTTCCCCCCTTCTTGGCCCCTGACCCGCACACACGAGGAAAGCTTAGAAGTAAATCCAGTGTATGTCATGAAGCCCCAAGCTCGGAGTGGAGTGTATTCCCCCTGGCTCTGCAACCACATCAAGAAACATCTCGCGATCTCTTCGTACAGCGATCGAATCGCAAGTGACTCCTCATTCCTCACTCCTGACAGGCGTTCCCCTGAAACAGCGGGAAACCGCATGGGAAGTGGCAATCATCTATGTCTCTCAGCGCGCCGACGCACAGCGCAACGCAGGTTCATGCGTCCAACACAAAAGAAACCCAGGTAGGCCAAACAGTGTTTCCAGGCTGTGCTATCCTTTATCCGCCCTTTAGACGACGGATGATGGGCTTGTGGCACCCTACCCCTCCCGGGAACGGGAAGGGGATGGTCCTCGAACGACGTCGGGAGGAACTTTGCTTCGGCCCGGACGAGGACGACGGGATCGCCGGAGGGTGGATGGAGAATCGGCCGCCGGTTCTGGGGCCGACAACCCCCGTTGAGGAGCCCCCGCTGTGTAAACAAAGTTGTCCTTTGTAATATTCTGCAGTACTGATATCGGGTATGAGGCTCTTCTTCGCCCAGGGGGTATGATACAACTAAGAAAATGAAGTAATGATAAAAAAATGCCTCCCACTGTCCAAGTAGACACCGCCACTCTATCCAAAACTGACCGTAGGCTACTTCAGCTCAGCTCGGCTGAGTCCCAGGTCCTCGTTCCATTCCGCGAGGCCTCTACGCCCCTCTCCCAAGAGCATTGGCCTGTTCCCCATGCTCACGAGACCTGCATGTCTGTCGTCCAACGGCGTACAGCATACACCTAGCGGAAACGCACCGCACTGTGAATAGACTGCATGGGAGAATCTATTTGCCGCAGTACGCTTGCGCCACCTGGGACGATTCTCTTTCGTGCTTCCCGTTCCATCACGGGGGGCATTCGTTACAGGGAAGGGGGGCCTGCCAGCTTTCTATCTGTTCTCCCCTATCGCGACGTTCCGGTTCACGACGGGAACACAATCGAGCGAATGGACACCCGCTCCGTGCAACGATCTTGCGTCTCGGTGACACAGCGGCAGGAGGAAAGGGAATCGCCGGCGGACAAACAGGGGGGAAAGCATGCACGCGCTGCCGTCCATACAGCCGTTTCGAGTATGCTACGCCCGTGTCACCGATGACTGGTTCGGCCGTCTCACACGTTCGCATCCCCTCGCTGATACGGAGCATTGCCCCTCTCTACTTCTTGCCCTTGCCGCCGTCTGGATCGTACTTATCCTTCCAGATCCTGTTGGGTTGCGACCGTCAGTATTAGTGTCACCAGAGTATTGGATCATAGTGGTGTCAGAGAAATGCAATGTCGTCAGGAACGAAAGACACAGAAAACCGGTAGGAACAGAGATCGCGATGCATGGGGGCACAGCGACCGCAACGCTCCCAGTAACCCCAGTATCAAGGCTCAGAGCAATCCTGTCGGAGGCGGTGCAGCTCAGCGCAGCACGCCAGAGCATGCAACAAGTAAGAATTGCGTGCATGCCCGGGGAGACTTGCTGACTGCCAAAGCTGCCAAAGCAGGGCGAGCTGCCGCTACTATTGCTACCGCTGCTGCATCTTGGGGTGCAGGAAGGGCCGGCAGCCTATCAATGCCGCAGCTCGCAAGTCATCCGCGACGCGCTGCAGGCTGCCCCCCTCCCCCAGAACGACTCGATGCGTCTACCGGATCCGACCCTTGGGGAAAACCGAGCAAACCAAATGGGAGCAAAGTAAAAGGAGACTGGCTCGACTTACCATGAATTGCCTAGTGTTTTGTTGCCGTTCTTCTCGGCCAACCGGTAGTAACGGGCTGCTGCGAACTGGACATGTCGTCAGCCTCATGTGATGAAATCGAGCATGCGTATCGGGCGGGTGTCATTCGCGGCCGCGAAAGACGGTCGCTTGATGCCCAACCTGACCAAAACAACTTTGCTGACGGCCCCTTGAATTGGGCGTCCCTGGAGTTGAGCTCATCTCATGACATATGCGGTTCATGGCGCAAGCCACACACACACTTTACGAGACGAGTGAGGCTCGTTCAAAGTTTCCCCAGAGATGCCGTCTCCCGTCCCTGTTTTGCCGACGCCGAGATGCGTAATATCTCCAAGCGAGAACTGATATGTGACAAAACTCACCTTGTCCTTTTTGCAGCCGAAGCCCTCCAAATAGCACCAGGCGACTTCATTCATGGCGTCTGAGTCAAGCAAGGCTGGTTAGCGTACCCGAAACGAAGCATTGGGCGCTGTCTTGACGCCCAGCGATACATCATGAGGGCATACTCACCAGTATCTCCAAGGTTCGCTGCGGTCTCGTAGTACTGCAATTGGATGTCAGCCCTCGCCCCTTCGGTCATGATGGCGACTCTGCAGGTTTTCTTCCTCCCGCCTCGAGCCCCTATTCGGACGGGGAAACCAACCTGCTTGGCCGCGATTGGGTCCGTTTTCGTGCCCCAACCGTGTCTGAACGAGTTCGCCAGTTCGAAGATGGCCAGAACGAGCTCTCCCTTGGCAGCGCCACCCTTCTTGAGCCCAGCCTTCAACGCCATTTGCTCAACGGCAGCCGCGTTCGATGCTGCCGCTGACAGATACTTGATCGCCCCCTCTGGATTGGGCTCGCATCCCCAGCCGTGCCTATCAACATTCCCGAGTCAGCAAGCGCGTCACTCGATCCGTCCACCACCCCAAGCATCGTGGCACCCGTCGCCCCCCTCTAAACACCCCGATGCAGTGTGATCGGCCGACGAGCCGGCATGGGACCGCCCCATGGGAGCGGGGAGGCGACGGCAAGCCTGCCGCGGGGTCGAGACCAGTCTGGACGTCTAGACTTACCTCAAAGCAAGCCCGTACAGGAACTGACTGAGGGTGTTGTTAGCCCCTTTTGGGTCAGCCAGGCGGGCAAACATGGCCGTCGAGTTCTCGTAATCCCCTGCCTCATGCAGCCTGATGGCCTCCTGGATATCCTCATCAATGGCCGGCGACGACACGGCAGCGCCATTCGAGCTGTCCTTCGCCCCGCCGACCCCCTGCCCGTTATCATGCGACGGCGTCGCCGGTCTGCTCTTGTTTGACGACGCCAGGATTGTCGCGCGCTTCTCCCAGGCCGCCTCGTCGCCCTCGGCCGTGGTTACGATGTCGGGCAGGTTCTGCGGGACGTTATCGGAGGAGGCGGGCGACCGGCTGAGGTGCAGTCGTTCCGACAGCCGTCTGGACCCTTTCGGGTTGCCGTTCGAGCTCGCCTGAGAGGACACGGAAGGGCTGCGGGAGCGGTTGCCGAACAAGACGTCGAGGCTGCGTCGCGGCTTCTGGCCGCCGCCGCCGTCTTTGGGATTCAGGTACTGGTCGTTTTCCACAGACACGGTTGGCGGGTGGATGACCTCTTGCGAGTGTGTGTCTGACCGGATGAACTTGAACTCGGGGGCTGCTAGCCTGTCCATGGCGTCCTGGCTGCTTGGCTCGCCATTGTCGAGGTTGTCCTTTTTCTTGAGGATGTCGCGTATACCCATGATGATGATAGTGCCTAAGATTAGTATACTGCTATGGATGCAGTCCGGGTCACGTCTCGGAACGGAAAGAATAGAAAATAGAAGGCACAGAATGCAGAAATCAGATATACCGAGCTCAAGGCTGGAGGATCAAGAGGCCACGAGCAGCTGCTTATGTGGGAGCGCAATGTCGTCACATTTGGTGCTATTCTCAGCTTCAGGCAGGACGGAGGTGGTGCAGCGACGAGGGGCTGAGCTTCAAGGCGGTGCAGCTCAAAGGCGACCAAACTGAACAGGGCGCTTTCTGCGCGACCACACAACCGCCTACCTTACGATATACCTAAGCCATCGGCCTGACGGGGCCCTCCTCCCCCCATCGCCCCCTTCCATTAGCGCCTCGTCAGCGTCTAGAGAACGTAGCAGTCTCGGAAGGAACAAAGGCTCAGGAACCACTGAACGCGGCGGGTGGCGCTGGACTCGGAGGAGCGCCGCTGGGCAGAATGGGGGCCGCGAGTGGAGGAGATGACCGAGGGGGCACTTGTTGGAGAGTTTCCAGTGTGTCAGCGCACGAAATGTCATCGAATGGCGTTGTTTTCAGGAGCCCACAGGGTACGAAAGGATGGCGGGGTAAATTTTAATGGAAATTTTAATTGATTTAATTGAGACATCCGAAGCCAGCTGGGGACGGCCCGCACGCGGAAATGATGCCCGTCCGAGGCCCAAGCGAGGTTGCAATCCTTGGCTTTGAGCCTCCAGCACTGGGTATGTCATTGTAACCTTTGATTTCAATCAATGGAGTCTCTTGCCCTATCATTTCATCCGACTTCTCATCCATGATTAAGGGATTGTTGATCATTGATCGCCTGTCACGCCAAGATTCGAGTTCATCAAGTTCCACAATTCTTTCTTGGATTATCTCTATCCTTTCTATGTATGTTGTTCTTTGTGTGCCAGGTATCAATTCTTTCGCTCTTCTTGGGTATCGTTTGTTCGCTATTCTTTTCCCAGTTGCCTCCATCAAGGAGGCACGCTTCCTCAAAGGGTACACTTCCCGTTTCCCCCAAGATTAGACTCCCTCAGGAGTAGATAGCAAGCATGTCAGTAAAGAAGGCGGACCGATTGCGGCCGCTCTCACCAAGTGGCACGAGGTCACGATCAGAAAGCGATAAAGTCCTTTTGAACTCTAAAGTCAGAGTCGTCACCAACAGGATCGTTGATAAACTCCTCGACCTCGTCCGAGTCCACGTCGTCGCTGTCGGCCGATTCTTCTTCGCTCGACAGATCCTCCATCTCGTTGTCGTCTGTGCGCTTCCGAAGGACGCTTGCCCTCTCGCGGTGAAGTAGCTTACAGCCCTTGGTTTTACACTTGCCCGTGTTGCTAAAGTCGGGGCACTCGAAAACGTGTCGCTCTTCGCAGTTATCCCCCTTGTCGCAGTAGCCGTACATGCCGAATGAGCGGCAGACCAGAGCACCTGGAGATACACTAGAGTGAGCATACGGGCAGTTGGGGTTCGCACAGTTGCCCTTGATGAAGTGAACACATGTAGGGGTGCGCTGAGGGGTCAAGTCATGGGAAAGATCACAAGACTCCTCATGAGCGCAGGTTCCCTTGTGAAGCAACTCCCGGCAGACGGCAACTTTCGACGCGTCGTGTTGGTATCGGCAAGCAGGGCCTTTCGCGCATGAACCTAGATAGAAGTTGCGGGGTTAGTGTTGTCCAATACCTATCATACCCACTTGAGCGACATGATCCCAAGTTTGTCCGGATGAATGACTAGTTGTCGGGTGAGAATGTGAATGAAATACCAGTCAGCGAAAACATGCTGCAAGGCACGTCGACCTTCTTTACGCCATGGTGGCTGCGATGTTAAGCGGGATTAGCGTCTGCATAATAGTGGGATGGACGACATACCGATGCGCTCTGAGCACGCCAGCGCGGTATAGATTGCCTCTCTTGCTTCGGTGGAATTTGACGCCTCCAACGTATGTGACCTTAGGAGTTGCACTGGCGGGGTGAAGGTCTCCTGTGTAATAATCAACGAGTGCCCAAGGGGCAAATGGCGTTGGCGACTGACCGGACACCTTCACGAGCTTGCTACCGTTGTTGGCGACGCGATACCGCAATCCCTGAATCTCGATCTCGTGGTTCCCTACAGCTGTCGTGTTAGTAGGGGTTGTCGGAGCACTCGCGTGTCCGCCGTATCGCTGGAAATGGTTGGCGAGCTGGGATCTTTCGCGCGCTTCCCGTTGAAGCAGCTTCTTTTGTCGAGTGGCCTCGATGGCCTTGGCGGTGGCTTCGTTGGTCTTATCGTAGACCGCTGAATTGATTAGCGACATCTGGCCGGGGGTGTTCTTCGAAATCCAAGAGCCCGAAGAAGCGGTCGAGCCAGATGCCTCGGGAGTAGGCGAGTCGGAAGGCGGTGTTTGCGTTCCACTGTTGTTGACCACAAGAGATCTGTTGCGGAAACCCGAAGGTCCTCGAGAGGAGGGGTACGGGGAATGCCTGTGGGGATGGCCGCCTTGTCGATGGGGGTTGTCTGGGTCGTGTGAGTGTCGCGCGATGCCGCTGGACGCATGATGGGACGTACGTCGATGGTATGATGCCTGGGAACTGGGAATGGACTGGACGCCAGCTTGCTGTGCTTTGTGGAGGTTGATCTTGCCTATTGCCACCATATCAGATTAAGCGCTTTCCTAAGGTAGTTTTGTTTGCAGAGTTCTCGTACCGGCAAGCTGGCTGATGCGCGCCAGCAACTGCTGCTCCTCTGACGAAGTCATTTTCTCGGTTAGTATATTTGTCGTGGAACTTCGTATCGAGAGCGCTGTTAAATGCGACAGTCTTGAAGTAGTTGCGACGAGAAACCTAACGATGTTGTTGGTAGATTCGGATGAGATCACTGTGGTGGGAAGGAGACGCTTTGACTTTGCCCTCGATCTGGGGGGGCTAGTGGAGAAACACATTAAGTGGGTCTTTCCGTCCCGATGGCCAATCCCAACTGTGGAAAGAAGCTACTGCAAGGCTGAGGAAAGAACGTGAAGAGCTGCACTCTAATTGCACCTTTGCCTTTGGAATTTAGTGAACTGTCGCTCGCCTGCTTGCAGCCATACCTCAAACGGATCTTTCTGCTTGGATTCAGGAACACCTTAAAGACACGTCATATACTGGAAGTTGAAAACTGCTTGTATTATTCTCAGCAGGCTTCTACTGTTTTCATCCAAAGCCAAGCATCTTCAAAACACTACTTCCAGTTTTCGCGATCCGAGCCGAGTATTCCACTTCGCACGACATCAGGCCAAACCCGAAGAAAATGTCATCTTGGGATCTTTTGGACGACAAGGAGGAGGCGGAACTCCACAAGACGCGTCTAGTTAATATCGAGGAGAAGCCCTTCAAACGCATCACGAAGAGACTCGCCTCGATCTCCGCCATCGCAAATGCTCAGACGAAACAACAGCCCACTCCGCCTCCCGAGGGCACAAATGGCGAGAAGGACGCCGACACCGAAATGAAGGAGGAATCCGCCGCCAGCAAGACCCGCGAGATCAACCAGATCAAAGAAGACCTGACCCTCGACTTCGCCGCCTTCGAAAGCAGCATCGCCCGCCTGCAGTTCCTCCTCGACGCCAACGTCCGCGAGCGCGCACGCTATGAGGCCGACCAGAAGCGCATCCTCGCAGAGTCGCAGAGCGTACGCGAGAACAACACGAAGCTGCGCGAGCAGCTGGACGGTGCGAAGGCCACGCTTGCTCAACGTAAGGAGTATGACAAGCTGGCCAACGCGTTGATGGCCAAGGGACTGCGACCGCGCGTCGAACAGGAAGCCAACCTGAAGAAGCTGGAGGAGGAAATCAAGGACCTCGAGCGCGAGAGCGAGACATACGGTGTGACGTGGCGCGAGCGGAAGGAGCAGTTCAGCAAGATCATGGACGAGGGCATGTTGCTGCGCCGGCAGATTCGTGACGAGAAGGAGGAAGTCGAGAGACGCGAGGGCATGAACGAGGACGAGGAGGATGGCGAGGCCTCCAGAGGAGGACAGACACCGCGACACGTCTCTAGTGGAAACGTCACGCCGCACCCCGATAGTGGCGCCATATCAAGAGCGACACCGGGTCAAGACGGCCAGTCGGAGGATCAGTCAGAGGGTTTGAAGCCGCGACCTGGTGGTTTGGGAAGCTTCTCGCGGTCTGGAAGCGCCGTACCAAGCCAAGGCGGCACGCCTCGTCCCCAGCCTGATGATGACGAGATTGAGGAGGGAGAGGATGTTGAGATGGACGACCGGCAAGACACCCAAGTCACTTCTGGAGGCGACACACCTCAGATCACAGTGGATGCACCGGACAGCATGGAAGTTGACAATTAGACATGGAGGTTGACAATTAGACAAAAAGACGGCACGGCATAGTTTAGCTTTGAGGAATGATTCTTCTCAATTGAGATACCCATTAACGCGAGCTGCGGATTTCATGACGCCTGCCTGCCCTTGATCACAACGCGGTCCCCAGCCGGATTCATTAATACACACAAGTCATGAGGCCAACTACCTTACGCCGAGGTCGTGGGAACGTCGACAGTGTATGTCTTCTCCTCCTTGCCCTTCGACAGGGCCAGCTTGGCCGTGGCCAGCTCGTCCTCAGTGGCGCCGCCGCTCTCAGCCAGGGCAATCTGCTCCTCCAACTTGACGGTCGCGTCCTCGACGCGCGTGCGCAGAGCAGGGAAGACCTTCTCCGTCTCCTCCACAGCGAGCTTCTATGCGAACGTCAGTAAGAGCACTTGGGGCATGGGGGACAGTAGGCGGACGAACCAACTGCTTGAGCATGTACTCCCGGTTGCCGTCCTCATCGGGCTTGCCCTCCTTGATCTCGGCCTCCAGCGTCGCGACCTTAGCTTTCTGCTGGATAAGCTCCTTCTCGTAGGAGATCTCCTCCTTAAGGAGACGGGTGACAGAGAGAGTCGCGACGGTGAGCTGGGAAGGGGGAGCCATTGTGCCGGGAGTTGTGGTTGTAGTCGGAGAGTGAGTAAGTGGGTAGTGGGGTGCCTTGTTTTTTCCTTGGAGTTGGTTCAGTTGAGTTTCCTGGGTAAGGTGATGTCCGGAGTTGAGGTGGGAAAGGGTAGATGGGGAATGGTTGCAATGGTTCTTCGAAAGGCTGAGACTTTTGTACAGAATTGAGGACGGCTTACCTGTCTGCCTTGCGCGCGTTGCTTGGCTGATTGATTCCTGCTTTTTTGTTGTTTACACGGAATCCCGGCTGTTCGAGTCTGCTTGGCTGGCTACGTCAAGGTGCGCAGGCTGGTGCCTTGGAAGGTCAAGGGGATGCGCTGTGGTGGGGGTGCTTTGGCGGGGTACACCCCTGGCGATCTTACCTCAGCGCGCATCCCTCCTATCACGTCAACTCTTCTTCATCAACACACAACGGCTAACACTGGAATATATCAGAACACTAAGTGGAATTGTTAAATCTACAGAAATGGGTACATATGAGTTCGACTCAGGCACTGGTTTTCAAAAATGAAAGACCAGTTCAAGACGGGAAGGTGTGTCTCGGCATTTCTGGCGACCTAGGTTGACATGAAGGCTCACTTGAAGCCTCAAACGCAATGCCTCTTGCCCATTAGATGAGAACAACACACAATTTTTTCCTGAATCTCGACTCAAGCCCAAAGTTCTAGAATATATATGAGATCATACGATTACAAATTAAAGTCTGAATTAAATGAGAGAATATACTCGCAACGTCATATGCAATGCTCAGCTGCCTAGACATCGACTTCACCACCGCACTGGCTTGGCACATAAGCAACCTCACGATACCTTCACAACACATACGACCATACCCATTGGAAAACTCGGGATCCCGTCCGCTCTCCCATAGATAAGCCAATGAGGGACAGAGTAGTAGTCGGGTCGGTGACGACCGGCGAATGCCTGTTGTTGTATGTAACTGATATTTTTGCCGGCTGTTGTGATGAGAACCGGCAGACAAGATGGAGGTTTTTATAAGATTTGCCTTTGAATTTCATGTCGCTCACGGTTCCAGGCAACATCCCAGACTTCGGAAACAGGCATAAGCGGGGTCATGATTGAAGTTGAAGACACTCACCAGATGGGTCCTAGCTGGTGGATATCTGAACCATTCGATTGTAAGTGCATCGTTGCGGTATCCGGCGCGGGTCAGTCTACGCTGGTTCCATCGACTGAACGTACGTCCATCACAACGCCATGCCCCCCGCATTCAATAGCGGTAGCAACGGTAGCCGTACGTTGTCGCCAGTATGTAATTTCAGCCCTATTGTCAAGAAGCGCCTTTGTGGAATTGATACGTACTACCACGAAGACTATATTGCATGCTATAAACAGAACACTCGCGCCTGTGCCGAGGATTTTCCTGGCCTTCCGCCGGGTCAGCATGATGACGATGAATGAACGCGAGTTGGACGCGATTTCTAGATGGAAGTGGCAGTAATGACTGCTTAACTCGCGCCGGGCTAGGCGACGCTCGAACATACAGCCATCACAGTCCATTCAGCCTGCCAACCAATGCTTACGACTTAGCCGGCGTTCATCCTGGTAATTATCACAATTGGCTAACTGCGGAATGCCATGTCTTGCTGCTAGCCAGGCGGCATGAACTGTCAGTAAGAAATATCGCACATAATCTGACCATAAACACCACCTAGGGCAGCATTGAATATTTGTTGCTGTTGTCATAATATTCTCTTAGTCTTAGATACTTGCCTCGAGTCGACTCTTTTGAATATTTCTTTTGAGCAAGAGAAGCGTAGGGAGGCTTGTTTGCGGCCATCTTACATAGGCTGACTAACGCCCCAAGGTATATATATAACCTCCGCACCTAACTTCTAAATCCCTTCTCTCTCCTACTTATAAACCTTTCTTCCACCAGCTCCTACACAACATGGAACCAGACCCTTTTAAGGCTCGCACGCTCGACGAGGTCCCTACTCACCTCTCCGCTTACGGACGAGACGCTTACCTACGCACCTGCCTCAGCATGCTCAGCACCGGAATCCACAAGTGGGGCTTCGTTATCTACCGCTGTACATACGATGACGACGAACTCTGGAACAGCTACTTCGCGCAGCTTAAGAGCTTCTGCCATAACCAACTCGTTGAGTACCAACGCGCTGAGCTACTTGAGCAGTACTTGGATTGGGTCGTTATCGAGGACCGCCCACCCTTAACAACGCGTCCCGGGTTGAAGTTAGGAAACACTTTAATCAATGGGTGTCTGAGCAGAACGTCCCCATGTTCCCAACCAAGGCCTACCTGAACATATATCCCATCCAGATGCCCTGTTTCCGATACTGTCTTTATATCGACAAGCAGTGCCTCAACACTATCATCCAGTTCCAGGAAGCAAACGACGGCACAGCGTTGTTCTTATCGGAACTGCCGCCAATGGTTTTTGCTATCGTTGATCGAACCTGGACACCAAATGGCACCCAGGACGAGTTCGACATTCGTAAGGCTTTGAAAGAAAAGGAAGAGAATGACAAAGAGCATGGTGATAACGAGCAGGATGACGAGGAAGAGAGTGAGGATGAGGATGAGGATGAAGACGAGGAGGACGACGAAGAGGACCAGTACGATCGCGGCTATCCCCTTATTGACGGCAGCGATCGCAGGTATGTTGGGTGGATGTATTGCAGCGCTCTTTACGTGGCGGGCCTGTACGAACAGCTTCATGGGATAAACGGCTTGGATGACGAAGATTCCTATTTTCGCCCACCCGGGATCTATCCTCGCAGGGGCAGATCGATGCCTAGTTGAAGAGGTCTCTGATGAGATTTTGGCAGGACTGATTGATTGGTGGGCAAAAAGCGATATTGGAACTGGATTAAGATTTTTGGACTTGTTCATCAGCGTGTTATTCATCAACTACTAGCCCTTCTGCTGGCTGTCTTTTGCTGACCTGTCTGCTAGTCCCCGACCCTTGCCGCAGAATAGCATACAACCAACCAACCAAATATCGCGAGACGTTCGCGATTTAACTTGGAGGCCGAAAGTTGGCCGGGCTGGTTCAAGCCACAATGCGGGTCTATTCAATAATGTCGCCTGCTACTTACGTGGCGGCGCCTTTATGTCACCCAGTCGACCTCTCAGGGCTGCTATCGCGGCGTTAATGGCAGCCATGTTTGGCGGTGCCCGGCCGTAGAGTACAAGCGGAGCGAGGGCGTTTTGTATATCGTCCAGCATCTCTCCCGCCCAAGCACGGGTTCGCCTGGCTGCTTCTTCGTACCAAGCGTCATCAAATTCCCTGACAAGATACTCCAGGTTCGCAAACTCAATGATCAACATGGCAAGAAGACGAGCTGCATTAAACAGATTCTGCCGGTTGCCTTGGACCGTTGGTAAAACATCAGGGTGGTTCAGGTAGACGAACACCGAAATTGCCTACAGTGAATGCATCAGTATTAAGCTTTCGCTGGCGTGTGGATTCTGGATAGCGGTAAAAGCTTACTCTGGCGATCCCTCTAAAGAATTCATCCTGATCAGAAATATCACCAGTCAAAGCCCCACTGCGCAAGTCTCGCATTGTATTGCGGGCAACCGGGCCATCGAACCCGAATATTTTGCCCTTCATGTTGTTCAGTTTCTTCTCGCAGAGAACCATTGGCGCTCGGTTTCCGATACAGCCGAACTGATCTTGGAAGTAGTCCTCTGGTGTATAGAGAGTCTGGCTTTTGCCCGCCTTCGGAAAAGTGCCTTTAGGAAACTTCCTTTTCCAATATTTTTTGATGTCATCGGCATTTATCCGCGAGAAGACAGACTGCTTTCCATTCGGCAGAATACCGGATGAGAGAAATTTCACTGAATCAGGCGTGAATTGTAGCTGTTTTCCGCCTGTTAGCTGAAGGTTCGACTATGTTTTGACTTGGATCGGTTAGGGGAGGATGGCTGAAATGCTTACATCTGGGTTGTGCTCTGTGTCGAGCCACTTCCCTGTCTGCGCCTTCGTTGCTTTTGTGTCGTATTTAGTGACAAGGATATCAGGGTTATTACAGCCAGCATCCTGCCTGATTGAATGGGTAGTTGTGTTAGAACTGAGGCTATGAAGTACTTCTGACCAGGGTGTTGGAGGCAGGTTGCTTACTGGAATACGTTGTCCGAGGCCCCAGGTTGGTCAAGGAGCGAGCCCGCGCCAGGATACTCTCTGGCTATGATGGTCATCGCCACAATAATTTGCAGAAAGTTGAACATACTTATATCGAACTTTCGTCTCCTATCCTTGGCCTGGAGGGTTGTCGTTTCCTCGGAGATAACATCAGCCAGCGAAACGACCTGCTGTCAACTTCGTATAGGCTATTCAAAGAGAGAACCTTCATTCAATTGGAAAACGTTTCGTTCATTGTCTTATATAGCACAGCTACTACCCAGAAGACTTATATATCCCGGCGCTATTCCCCGATCTAATACTCCATGTAACTCCTGATATTCTTGTAACCTCGAATCATATTTACTGCTCCATCTCCTCCGCCTCGGTCGCCTCAACGGCGCTGAGATCACGGCCACCCTTAGACTTCTGGGAGTTCTTTGAAGCTTGAGAGGCCTTGGAGGCCTTAGAGTTCTTCGAGTCCTTGGATGCCTGAGAGTGGTACGAAGCGAGGGAATCCTTGCAGCCCGTGCCGCACTTGCCCTCACGCTGTCTCTCGTGGTTGTCGTCGTGCTTCTTGACATCCGCAGGGGTGTTCGGCTTGCCGTTGGCTCTGGCCTCAATGGGCTCAACTGCGGCCTCCTCGATGCCCTGGGGAAGAGCGGGGGTGATGTCTGCCTCGTGGGCAACGGGAAGTGCGCTGACGCTGGCAGCGATGGTAGCAAGGACGACGGTAGTGAAGAAGCGCATGTTGGCGGTTGTTGTGGTCTGTGTTAGAGACAATAGAGTATTGAGTTGGTTGTAGTAGTGTGGTAGTGTGGTAGCTAGAAGCTATTACTCAAGATAGTGAATAAGATTGATGATGTTAATTGATAGAGGAAGTAAGCTGATGAACAAGAGAAGCTCCTACCGGTTAGGGCGAGAGAACGGACGTCTTTATACAAAGAAAGAAGGTGCCGTTGTGCCTTAGTCGACCAGTCTAATGCCGCTTCCCGCGATGTCTTGCGCAAGTTTTCTGGCTGCATCATGCAGCCGGCTATTTTTCTCCATTTCGACAGGAACAGGAAAGGCGCCCGCTATGCTTTGGGACGGCCAGTTTCTTCCAACCCCATACCAACGAAGTCAAAGTCAGAAGGCCATCACCGAGTCCGAGTTGGACGACCGCAGATCTGGTAGAGCAGGGCAACGTTCATGCATCGTCGATCCGTAGGGGACAGGGTCCGAGTAAGGTCTAGATGGGACGTTGGACCAGGAGCTCCCTGACTAAGGGTCGGCCACTTTGCCGAATAAGCTTTCAGTGTCGGCCGAAGTCCCCTCGGCAGCAGAGTAAACTTGTTCTGTTTGTTATAGTAGCGCGTTTGGTAATATGCTTATTTCGGACCAACGTGGGGGAAGGTAGGACGTTCTAGCGCCTAGTACGCCTCACTCTATACTCTCACAGTGAACAGTCTAGCTTGCTAGCCACTCATCTCAACTTCGGAGTGAGGCATACTTAACTCCTGTATCATAGCTTCATGTGTTGTAACTAATACTATGATGCACAGAAGGCCAATTTCTGCGTTGGTTCAACTATGCCTCCCGATGACTTTCCCGGACCAGAGCCAGCTTACAATATGGCCTCCTCTAAACGCACCGATGGTTACAAGCAAGTAATTCTTGATGAATCATCAGCACATTTGGTTGCAGTTTCGATGTACGCGGACAATACGGGAAATCGGCTTAAAGATGAGCGACTTACATGCCGATCTAGGAAGCCGACGGTGTTCCAAATGCGCCTTGATAGCCGCGTAAGTGAGTACGTTTTACCCCTCTTCAGTCCGAAGTGGCTCTGTCCACGTCGAACGTCGTTCATCAATGACAGCTCCAGGGCATAAGAGACCCCATCCCTGGCACTTGACCCAATGTCTTGGTCCAGTCGGCATCGTGCCTGATTCGTGGGCAGCGTCCCCCGTCAACGAAGACTGGGACTGTGACATGAGCGGCCGCTTCGGTCTCGGTCGCCGCCACTACTCCGTGCGCCCTACTAAAGTTGTCTATCGGCATGGACCCTGGAGTCAGGGAACTCTGCTGGTATTGTCGGCGCACTGGAAGCTTGCTACACGCGGCAGACTGGGTCATGTTCGTTGGAAAGATTTACTTGTAGGAAGAATGTGCTCATGTCCGGCGCAGGAGCTGGCCTGAGATACCCGCAAGTGTCCAGTGCGGTCTGTGTGATTCTACCAGGCTGACGGCGGCAGTGCGTGTTTCGGAAAAGCTTCTTTCTTCATCGACACACGATGCTGATGGCAGGTCAGGTGTTACGTGCAGACGCTGTGAGAACAACTTCGATTGTCGTCTCCCTGCTCGACATAGAATTGATGTCGTGCGAATCGCATTGGCAAGAATGTTCATTCGGGGCAAAGTTGCGGTTCCTGATCTGATCTCCGAACATGATTAAAGATGTGTGAACAAGCTTAAATCAGAATTCTAGTATAAACGAGGGGCACATTGGACAGATGCTCTCGACCTGCAGAAGCTTACGAGTATCAGACGGATACTCGTTCCGCTCTAGAGCAAAGTCAATAGGCGACAAAGTAGTCAGAAAGTAAAAAGCGGTGTCTCTGACTGCTCATGCTATGCCACACCTTTCTGCGCCACCAGTATCGTGACTGCCACGAGTAATTAGACGTGAGCACTTGACCAAGTGAGCCCATGTGGCTGTTGAGCAGATTTATTAGGTTTTGTTATTCTGAGGCGTGCGGAGGTTACCGGAGGATGACCAGGACGAGAGGATCACCATTGCCTACGAACGGCATGAATCTTCAGACGAAACGGGTGGGACAGCCGCCGTCGCCGGCAAAATCTCAAGGAGATATCGGAGCTCCGTCGGAGCGGCACGGGCAAGTACGGCTGCCCCGGGTTGAGTTCTGGCTGGTAAGAATCGTATAGGACATGCGATAGCGAGGACTGGGTTGCGAGGAATCCGAACTAATGGGACAAGCGCCTCGCCGTGCCGTTTAAACCAGGGACTGCCATGTGAGTCCCCATCTTCTTGGGCCCGCCGCGCGACAGAAACTGGAAAGCTTGAGTTAAACGCTAAAACCGAAGGGATCGGACGAGGACGGCCGTAGGCAGACGGGCGTTGACACGGGTTGAGGTAGTTTTGGCAACGCCCTATCGCATCGGCCTATGTGAATAAGAGCAATACCAAGTCTCAAAAATAATAGTAGAAACCCGACAACCAAACTCTGTTAGTAGAAATGGTTCGGAAAACCATGGAAAACCTCAACTCACCAACTCTCAATAGGTATGTTGATCTCAGGGTACTCCGGGTATCACTTTTCAGGTGGCATTTATGCGACAAGAATAGTCTCCGGGGGATCGCCGTACGATGTATGATCTCTTGAGTTCCTTGTCGGTGTAGACGCCGGCGATCGTTCATCCCCACTCTCTTCGGCCAAGTCCTCGGCATCTTGTCACCTCCATCTATAATAATGAAGACGCCGTTATGACAAATGGCATGCGTCAATAGTCTCAACTGGCAAAAGCTTAGCGTCCACGCATTGAATGTGTGCTGGACCCCGCAGCGGGAGATGTACGTGGCCCGCGCGAATCAGTCACCACTCGCTCGGTATCGCCGCCGCCGCATCCAAGGGCTCGGGTTCGTGTCGACTCGTGGCTGACACAGTGTAGCCGC